CCTGAAATTCAATTGGTTTGCGCCACGATAAAGTCATGTGACCGGAAAATTTTTTGTGGTATAATTACATAGGTTTAAATTATGCGAGATTATGTGAGTTTCTTTAAATTATGCGAAATCGCATATTTTATGTGCTATAGGGTGAATTATGTGGATATTATACCGGATCATAATACGCCACGCATAATACTGGTAAACTTTACGTATTCTGGCCAATCGCAGAATCATTTTTAATCTATGTAATCAGATAAAAAAAAATCTACATTTGAATTTTTTTTTCCCTTAAATACTATCGCTATGTTGATTGCATTTAAGTTTGCGAGACTTACTCGGAGAAGGGTGCTTATGGTAAGCTAATTGTACTGGGTGTGTGATTATTTTCATAACATTTACATATTATTCACAGAATTTTAAGTGGACTTGTGGTTATTTAAGCAACAAAGATGTCAGTTATACAAATAATTCTAGTGTTGATTTAGAACTGAGCGAGCTTTCTGACGACCCAAAGTTCAAGTTAAAATAGCTAGTAAATTTTATCAGCTGCAGAGGGACTTGTTTGAAGAGAGTTTTAAAGCAAATATGAGTTTAATTCTGAATTTAAATAGAGAGCATAAGGAAGAACTTAAGGAAGAACTTAAAGAGCATAAGAAAGAACTTTTGAATTTAACAGAAAGCAAGAATGAAAGTTTTTTGAGTTTAAAGAATGAATTTAATGAGGCCAAAAATTTAGCAGAAACCAGGGCACAACATCTATTGCAAACGGAGCATATAGTTAACATAAGGGGTGCCTTGAAATTTGTTTGTGCACAGGTAATTATTTTCTAATTGTATTTTTTGATTTTACCATCCGAATTTTGAATATTGAGAGGGACTTTACAACAGATTTTGAAAAAAGATAAGTCGATCGTCTTTACAGAACCCGTAGATAAGGCTCTGATGCGCTTATTCCAAGATGAAGATTTTAAAGAAAGCGTGTGAAAATAATGATATTTGTTACGATGATGTTCAGAATTGTATTAGGGGCCTCTACCATAATGCGTCAAAACGATTCCATGGACATGAACTGCAGATTGTGATTGATTCGCGATCTTGGTCGCAAAATGAAGTATTTGTGCTTGGCATTATTTTTCGCCATTTCAAAATTCCATTTGATTATTGTAATAGAGATGGTAGGCTAGTTGATTACCCCTATAAATTGTAAGAGGAGAATGGTATGTAATTATAGACATATCACGAGACATTTTTTATGTGCTATTGATTTTAATAAAGCATATTCATTTAGACTTTCATGGTTTTTATTCCTCACAGTGTAAGGTTATAAGATTTGCATTTTTTAGCTTACAACTGTTTCATAAATTCTGGACACTTTGAAAATTAATGATAACCGAATCGATAGGTTTTTGACATAGGTAACTTATTGATTCAGTTTCGGTAACTTATCGATTCAGTCATTAGAAAATTTTTCTGCTGTTCAGATTTTATTAAGCAGCTATAAACGATCAGAATTATGAACTCTATTTCATTACCAATTTTTTGTGGGGATTGTTGGACTTTGTACATAGTAAAATAAATTATACATGAAGCTGTTTAGATTATAAATTCAAGGGCTTTCACTTGCTCGCCTAACAGCAAAACAGAAATTCATGAGCAAAAAATTCCCGTGTATGTGACAACGTGAAATTCACAGGCTTATCTTTTATTAATTAATGGTAGTGTTTTTTATGGGGAAAGGGTGTATGATCACGTGAATATCCTACTTGTTTTGATACTTTCCTCATCCTGACTTACATACTAAAGAAAAGATAATTCAATTTTTAATAATTTAAAAATGCGTATTTTATTATTAAGTACATAAGTTACAATATGTAATTAATTTTGAATTATGAATAAATTTTAAATTACGGAATTTTGACAAATAAAAATTGTATAAATAAAATAATGTTAACTTATTAGATCCAAATAAGATCATGTCTGATATATAGACATGGAATTATCCAGTAATTATCTTCCAAACACCGTAACTTTCATATAAATTAGAATACATTCCTAATGCTGAGTGATTTATTAGACAATTTTTGCCAATCATACTTTTAAAAGATTCTTTTTCCACTCTCCTGTTGGAAGTTGTTTTGACTTAATAAACTATTATAATGGTTTTAAAGAAGCGTGCAAATGTTAAAAAGAAACCAATTTATTAAGATTGTCAATTTTTAATTTGATATAAAAATTACCTCAATTCCATTTATAATAGGTTCACTAGTGGGTATTCTGCATACATTAGTCCAAGCAATGCCCAAGCTGTATTAACTACTTGCGAATTTGAATGTTGTATATACTCCAGATGCAGACTAATAGGATTCCAAAGAAAATAGTTAAGTTTTAAATTCAAACTAAATATTTTCTAATGCTAAATTATCAACCTTAATAAAGTGCATGAAGCTTAGAATTCTCATCCTTTTATATGGGAATAATATGTCAAGAAAAAGTGTTTTAATAATAATTATTTATATGCATACTCTGAAGCTTAAATAAGCCGCTAATGAAAAATTTAGCCATAAAGTTATTGAATATCTTAGATTTTTATAACATATTCGCTTATGTATGTATTTATATATTCTAATTATATTTTAGTTTTTGACTAATTGGCCATATAGGTCAAAGCTTTTAGTTGGCTGCTGCCAATTGCCAATCAACTTTGGCTGCAAAATTTTGGTTATTTTTTGGCTGCTAGACAAAGATTGGCCAATAGCCAACTAAATCACTTGGCCACTATAAATTGCCAACACTGGCTAATACCAACTAAATTTGTATGCGTCAAACAAATATATTCAAATATTCAACACGCAAAAACACCTACATTTCCTTGAACATAGCGAATTATTATTATTATTATTATTATTATTCGACCTTGTGTTCGATTGCTTGATGAGCTGCACAAAATTACTTCATAAAAAAAGTCTAGATTTTTAGTATATTTAAGACGCGACTTTTATCAACCAAATTTCTTTTTGTTGATGAAGGTCTTTAATATTTGATCAAAGGTCTCATGAGTCAGGAGCTATCCTTGCAAATCCATAAGTATTGTCAGTATATGACGCAGCTGATGCTGAAATTTGGAGCTCGATTTAAAAACATAAGCCCTGCTATACTCTTTAAATATCGAATCTAACCCTAAATCCTAACCTAACCCTAAAAAAAGCGAAAAAATCACCCCAAAAATTAAAATTTCATTCAAACTTCAGCATCAGCCAATTTGCGACATTCATTATGGCTTTTTGTTTTATTCAATCAACCTTTTTTTTATTATTCATTATACTTGAATCAATATTTTATTACTGCGCAATACCTTTTTTCTTAAATAAGTTTTTTTTCGCTTTTTTTTTGTTAGGTTAGATTTGATATTTATAGAGTATAGTGAATATTAGCAGGGCTTTTTTAAATCGAGCCCCAAAAATTTTAGCAGCCGTGACAATGAATAAAACAAAAAGATCAATTCAAGTACAGACGAGCCTTCATAAATACACTTCGTAGGGATAGTAATAGGCAACGCACATGATACACAGGAACTTTTTTGGATCCCGTGCGGGATAAATTTATAATTCGGGTCAGTATCATAAATCCGGTCGGAAGATACGCCGTGATGCTAGAGATTCCGAAATTTTCCGAGAAAACCCCAGAAGATTTTAAAACACAAAAGACAATTAAGGGTGTTCTCAAGCACCTCACTCAATAGATCGGAGGTAAAATTAGTCGTAAGTTGAATAAACTAACCAAGTGAGCTGCCATTTCGATGAATAGATCAGCAAGCTACAAACCATCTTTTTTCTTCAAAAATTTACCATTGATAAAGGTCGCTCAAGCATTACTTTTGAAATTTCTAACTAGATCTAAAAAAAATATCTACTTTATTTTTAATGCTCGAAGCTTTTAAAGCAAATAATCGATAACTTGATATGAACGTAATAAATGCAATCCATCTTTTAACCTTTAATCAAACTATATTAAATATTACTTCCATTTCTCATTCACCTAAATTTAAATTTTATAGCAAAGACGACCCAAAGCTGAAGGATTTTTGGTAGATGGTTTTCTATATAACTTTTTCGAAAATATTTTCATTTTAACTATGTGCGAAATTGCACTACAGAATTATTATAATTGCCATAAAAAAAATTTTCTTTTTAAAATTTACTTTTTTTCGCAAAGCAATTTTCACTAACGACTCCATGAGTTGGTTCTATTACTGTTGCAACTAAAATTTAATTGGTAAAATCGTTAAAAGGTGAAGCCAGTGAAACTGAAGTTGAAGCTTCAGCAGCTGGTTGAATAAAAAAAATTTTATTAGGTCTTTTAGAAGACATAGCAAAGATTTTGAAAGTACGCTCAAGCATTTAATCCTATAAATATCGTCATTGATTGTGATTCTTGAGCGTTATCATGATCATTATTTAATTAATTGATTGAGATGCTTGAGAACACCATCCTAAATTTCCACTCATCCCGTGAAATGAGAAAAGGACCCCGGATAATACTAATAGAGGTTCGTACGAGTTGAGTTAATAGTAAATTTTCCACTTTTTTGGCCCAAACTTTTTTTAAATTCTGGCCAAAATAAAAATTAACTTTTAATTTGACCAGAACTTAGAAAAGTTTGAGTTCAAATTTAATAAAAACATGACCAATTCTAGTAATTGGGTTCCTATTAGAAAACAATAATTTGGTTATTGATTATCTACCCCATGAGTCACGCGTGGGATCCCGCATCCTACGCAGGATTAGAAAACCTCAAAGAATAGTTCTTTCTGTAAATAATCGGATACATCAGCCGACATAATTGAAAAAACGACGCGTAGCATATATTCTTAATTGGTTGAAATATTATAAGTTGTAACTATTTGATGTAGATGGGGTTAATTTCCCCACAGCAAAAGGAGGGGATGGGCAAAAAAATTTGAAAATTTGTTCTTATGATAATTTTATTCTAATTAATCTGATTCTTCAAGATATTGATTTTTTTTTAAAAAAAATTTTTTTGGCCCATCCCCTCCTTTTGCTGTGGGGGTCCCATATAGGTAATTCAGTGGCATCTTTCCAAGTTCATGTCAATAATATTAAGTTTAGTATAGAATCTTTATTATTTGTTTGTTGTTATTTTGAATCACATTTGAACCGATCTTGCTGTTCTTCAGCTATTATTGATGCTATTTTTTTCTTCCAACGTTCATTTCTTGCAGCCTTTTGTTCGGGCATATAAATCCTTTTTGCATTTTAGAGAACTTTAATAAATTATTAATGTCTACTTTGTAAATTAGTATTTATGATACTGTAGTTTTATTTATTGTTATTATTTTTTTCTTTAGATTTTTTTAATAATTAAAATTTCTGGAGTGGATAGCGATAAACAGAAATCAAGATTTATCATTATTATTGCAGAGAGGTCTTCCACTTCATTCCTCTTCGCTCCAGCACAATAATATGATTAAAAAAATTAAATAATTTTAAATATATTGATTATACTTATTTACTAATTAACAAAAAATAGAAAATAAATACAATTATAATATCAGCGAAATGATAAGGTCAATGAAGTCATTAACAACATTAGCAGAAAGATTATTAGTGATTAGGTCAACAATAATAACTGGGCCAAGATTCTAATTCCTATTAAAAGTGATAATATTATTCTGTACTTGTACAATTAACTGAAATTCTATTGAAATTAGAAATTAAACATCAGCACAAAAAAATATCTTACAAATAATTTATCTACAATTAAAAATCTTACAATTAATTATAAGAAATTCGTTTTAAAATACGTGTTATTGGAAACCATGTATACCAAAGCAATTAAATTAAACTAAACCACAAAAAAATATTATTCATCTAATTGTCTTGACCTAATTAAAAAGATAATATATATATATTTTTTTTCCTTTGATAACCTCGCACTAATTTATTAGAATATTATAATTTTTTAA